ACCAGACAGTCCGTTTTTTTTTTTAGTGTAATGGGCTCTTTTCAAATAATTGTTTATTCTCGGAGCCCGAATTGCAATGGATGTGTCTCCTTGCTGATGAAAATTATGTTCGAAATATCGCCGTCCATTGTTTTTTGTACAGACACCCAAGCGACGTATGTACTGCCCTCCCTGCGGGTTAGGGGTTCAAGAATTTACCCGTGGTAAGGCACGCCTGTCGTAAGAGGCGACTACAATCGAATAGTTCCTGCGACAGTCGTATCTTTGGCCGGATATTTTAATCGGCCAAGGACTGTCACTTCCGTAACATTCGCCAAAAATTACTTTGACGTCATAATGTGACGCAAGACAGTCTCAGCTCTTAAAATTGATATTTCCTTAAAATTTTTCTTATAGCCCGAAACGAGGCGACGTTAGGTTCAACTTTTAAAAATTTTAATAATAATAATAATAATAATAATAATAATAATAATAATAATAATAATAATAATAATAATAATAATAATAATAATAATAATAATAATAATATATTCTATTTCATCTTTCCGGCAAATGGACTTTCGTAAAGAGCTTTTTAAGTTATGTCAAACATTCATATATCCACAGGTTAGCTTTTAGAAAAATATTTTTCTATAATTTGGTTAATCGTCCGAGCAGGGTTCGAAACCCATGACGAAGGGGTCTTGGAATGAATCAAATGAATGAATCTTCTTCAACACAAATTAGAATATCTTTAACCAACATAACAAACTAAAATTCAGTGTGAAAGCTCTTAGGAGCACGCAATGGAATTTGTACATTTTTGCAATTACTTTGAGGAAAGTATAGGAGGGTGGGGGGTTATGCAATAAAAAAAACTGCCTATTACGTTTTTACACTCTCAATGTCATCGTGAAAACATAAAACTTCCATTACATGGCGCATATGAATGTCGTCCTTGCCTGCCGGTTAGCCATTTCTCGGATGATTCATTTATGCCAGCTCCTGCTTGTTCACCGCAATGATGTTCAATACAAGCTTGTGACAGGCTAGGCCGTTTTCATTTTCCTTGTTAGTCCTTATGGTTGACGTTAAAGCAGCGAACTTGCAGGATACTACTGAGTGGTTATTTGTTTGTGGTTTTTTTTTGTTTTGTGAAAGCTTCCATTTGTATTGGTAAGCTTTCGCAAGTGACCAACTTTTATCTTCATTAATTGAACTATATTTTCAATTTATTGATTTTTAAACTACTCAGCAGTAATTCTATGATATGATAAGAGTATACAGTATTGTGCAAAGCAAAAGAAACAAAATCACGGTTAATAAAAAAAAAATTAATGTAAAAATGCTATGGACTTTAACTTGGATTAAAGCTACTGAATGGAAAAATAAAAATAAATACTTGACTCTTCATGAACGCTTGAGCAATCTTCGGCCAAACTCCTACAGTCTGGCACTTCACTTAAGTACTTGGATAAAGTCCTGAAGATAATGCGATTTCAAAGTTTGCTAGTAATTTTTTTTCTTTTGCCACGAAAGTTTTGTTGCACTTTACTAACAGTTGTATACGTGTATGTACTCGTATGAGGGTACATTTGCTTTGAAAGCATAGGAAACATTAGGTTACCCTTTTGACATCATGCCAATTGATACCCTAGTAATACAAATGGCAACAGTTCAGTGAACTCTTATGAATGCAACAACGGACATGACGATGCAGTGGGGAAAGTCTAACACGAAATTAGGTAAAGTAAAAGCGGCACAACGTAGTGGGGCAACAACGGGCGCCATTCAAAATGCTAAGCAGAAAAACCACAAACTAAAAATGAGAATAATATGCAGAAATGCAGCCCCTTTTATTTGCGCCGAATGCATGTGGAGTGTGCAAAGGGTTGTGCAGTAATTGGAGTAGGCAAAAGCAGTGATTAGTGGCATACCAAGTGGATACATACATACATATGTCGCCAACTGGACAGAGATGTGGTTGAGAAGAAGAAGCCAGTGACTTTGAGTGCGACATATATATAAGAGGCTTGAGTAAACTACTATTTCATATTTATAAGAATCTTACGTTCGTTTGTAAAGCTGCGCGTATCTTGAAAATTTATTGAGCGATTTTTCATATATTGCGTTGCCCCAAAAGAAACTGGCGATTCTTAATACAGACGGCGTTAACAATTTGTGTTTTTTTTTTTTTTTTTTTTTTTTTTTTTTTTNTTTTGAACAGCTTGTGACTATTTATTTGTATTTTTTCTGCTGTCACTTTTAGGTTGCTTGAAAAAAAAAAGACGCGTAATTTTGTTTATATTTGCTGGTTTGGCCTCAATTTCGATATGGAGCCCACAAAAAAACATTTTCGTCATATTTTACTTTATTATTTCCTTAAAAGAGGAAATGCAGCGCAGATTGCTAAAAAGTTGCTTAATTTTTATGTTAATAAAGCCTTAAAAGAAAACAGTTCCGAGGTTGGTTTGTCAACTTCCGTGCGGGAGATTTTTCACTCAAAGATAAGCCACGTTCAGGTCGGCGACCAAGTGAAGTTGGTGATGACGATATCAAGACTTTAATCGAATTGGATCGTCATGTAACTGAGTGTGAGATTGGAGAGAGTTTAACTCTATCAAAACCAACCGTTCATAATCAAAAGCGACGCCTTGGACTTGTAAAAAAAACTTGATATTTGAAGAAATTCATTTAAAAAGCCACTTCAACGCTTGTGATGATCCGTTTGTGAAGCAATTCATAACTGGATATGAAGAATGGATTGTTTATAATAACGTCAATCGAAAACGAGCTTGGTCCCATCATGATCAAACGCCACAAACCACTTCAAAGGCTAATATTCACCAAAAGAAGATTATGCTGTCAGTTTAGTGGGATCGCAAGGGTGTGGTACATTTTGAGCAGCTTCCAAGTAACCAAAGGATTTATTGGGATGTCTACTGTGAACAACTGGACAAATTGATCACATCCATCAACGAGTAGCGACCAGAATTGGTTAATCATAAAAATGTCATATTCCACCTGGGCAATGCTCGACAGCACAGAGCTTTGGTCACTCGCCAAAAACTGAGAGAGCTTGGCTGGGAACTATTGCTTCAACCACCACATAGCCCTGACCTTGCGACGTCAGACTACCACTTGTTGCGATCTTTTCAGAACTCTTTCGAATTGTAAAACTTTCGAAAATGGTGGGACCTTAAAATCGCACTTGCTTCAGTTCTTTGCAGATAAAGGCCAGAAGTTCTATGAGCGTGCAATAATGATGTTGCCGGAGAGATGGCGAAAGCTCAACCAACAAAATGGAAATTATATAATTGATTAAAGCTCATTACAAGATTTCAGAAAACCGCCAATTTCATTTGCGGCAACCCAATAATATCTATGGTGCCTGGCAATGTTTGCAAGGAAAAAAATTCTGGAAATAGGCCAGGGGCTGATATTGAAATTCGGGAAGTGGATCGATCCATTTATTTGGAAAACTATATATACAAATGAGCCATGTATTTGTATGGTAGTAGATAATAGTACACTTAATCGTCCAACTATTGGAATTGGAAAATTTTATAGAAGTTTAAAGGGAGGAGTGCGGTTACAAATATAGTGAGGTCTGTGCAACATCTTTTTGCTCATTTCACCTCAAATATCGCTGCTTTAAGTGAAAGTGTAGCCGAAGACCGGAATGTGTCTATTTCTCGACGTTCTCAAGAGCTGTAACTTACTTACGGAACAACGCGGCGTAGTTAGCAATTGGAATTACATCTACATCCATACAAAGTCCACCTCACGTAACAATCGAAGACAGCTTCAACAACAAGCGGTGGACGGTGATTTTTTAGACAAAATTTTCTTCAGCAAGGAATTTGCCTCACTCACGATAAATGAACAAGCCTTTGGGGCTCCGAAAAAGCACGGGTCATTGTCTTTTTTTATTTCATCTAAGTTTATCCGAGTAGTTAGCATTGTATACACTGCTATTCGGAAGGCTCGGGCTCAAATCTTGGCGTCGTAACATCCAAAAAGTTATAGAGAATCAATTTAAATAAAAAACTAAGTTAAATTTTCTGATTCTGGTCGCCCCTTGGCAGGTCAATGTCAACCCCTCCAAGTGTATTTCTGACATGAAATAAAGTTCCTCATAAAAAACCATCAGCCGGTTCGGAGACGACTTAGTATACAGTCCATTTGTTGGAAAACCATCAAGACACACACCACAAATTGAAGAAGAATCTCGACCGATAGATACTGAGTTCCTTTCGTTTCACGTATGGATGTTTTGGTGCCGGTTCCGCTGATTCTTCTGTACTGTTTGAAGCTTGCAAGAAACGTCACTTGAATGACTCCTCTCTTGAATCAGTGCCACCAAGCAAGGAATGTCTTTGGCTACTGGTGGTCTTTAACAGATGGAGATCCCTCACGACTTAATGATGATGGAAGAATACAAAGGCACAACTTTTCCGTCTGGTAGAGACTTTAACTGATATCTGACCGAATGGTGTATAAACAGTAAGGTGGAAAACCCAAACTGACAAATATTGCTTGCTATCGCATCCAAATGTTGCATAAAACAGTGGACCATAGAGGAATATTTAAGGTCTTGGAACTCTTCCAACGCAGGACGTACCACCGAATTATTGTGGGGCAGCGGGAATAGTAGACTGACCAAATTGTAACTTGTATTAAGCATAAGAGAACTAAGCTTTCTTATAGGAGTATAATAGGGCATGTACACCTGAGGTATAATCTCCAAAAGCTAGGTAAAGAGGCATTGGCTGGCACCAGAGCATGCACAAAGTATGAAAAAAAACGCTGAAGCAGTACTTTTGGAGTGTCCAGACTTCAACCGATTGAGGCGTCGCATCATACACGTTCAGCGAAGTTCTTTAGACATCAAGGCACCACAAAATTCTTAACATAAAAACACCTTTTTAATCTTAATGCTCCAATTGCATTGAGGAGTCGAGACTAACGTCCCGTTATCTTTAACAATCTAATTATGTTTCACTTCAATTTGTACTCACCCGCTGTGCTGCCCAGTGCAAGCGCCACAAGTAATGACAGGATAAGAGCTCTAGTCGACATGATTGCAGTAATAAACTTTAGCCTCTTGGGGTTTATGGATAATTCCGCTAAATTCTTTAGTACTTCAAATACAAAGTCACTTGCGATTTTTCAAACTTTTTTTCACTAAGGCCACTATGTATGTATTTATATAAATATATAAAAATTTTTAATATTTTTGTGGAAAAATTATTTACACAAATCACACATCCGCATATATGTTCATACACGTATGTACCAAAATAGAAGCGCATGCACTTTTCAAAAATATAAATTTCTCAAAAAACACTTTGAAAATTAAACAAATGTTTGTATATTTTTATTTTCCTCTATTTTAAATAATTTTCTGTTTAGTAAAAAGCACCAAAAAGCTTTCACATAAAATTGTACAAAAATTATTATACGGTTTTTTTTTTGTAATTTTTTTAAAATTTTATTATTTATTTCTCTCTTCTTTTTTTTCAAATTTCAAATTCAGCGCTTCTCCTGCGACTTTGCCACTAAACACTACCGGACAACGACAATGCTGCTGACTGACTGACTGCCGCTCGACTGCGGGTTCGGTGCGTTGTTGCCTCCACAAGTAGCCAAATACTCGTACTAAGTTCGTCGAGTGCATGCGTGTGTCGGTAGCGGCAGCAATTCGCCTACTCTCGCTGCAACCAAAGTTTTGTGTTGTACAATGTTGGAAAAAAATATAGCACGTTTGATGGAGAGTTCAATATATGAATTTAGGAAGAAATTAATAATTTTTAAATATTTTTTATTGAATAAAAAGCCCAATATTTTAGGTTAGCAATTAAATCTATATATGTACATATGTAAGTAAAGGATTTTCCAAAAAGAGGTGTTATTTTGAATACCTAGATGAAGCTATAACTTTTTGACATTTGACAAGTAAGAACTAAAAATGGAACGTGTATCACTGAAATTAATAAAATTCACTATAAAAATTTCACCGAAAAATCATCTTGACAGACAGGCCCATTTGTTGAAATGCAACCCTAATAGCAACTAACATATTATGCAACCCTGTAATGTGCCAGTCCTTCATTCTAACTGTTGAATAAACACATATAACTGTTTTACTTGGAACCCGAAAAGTGGCAGCGTAAGAATCCAACACCATTTCCACCTTGATAGCTTGAAAGAAACTCAAAACTGTCGCACCTGGGGATCGGAAAACCCAGCATATATTGTTGAAAACCTTCTCAATCCTAGACATGTAACTGTTTGGTGCGGTTTATGGCCCGTCGGGAACGTTGGAGAAACCATTACGTTGAATGGATTGCGCTATCGAGAGATGATTAATGTTTTCTTATAGCTGCAATTGGATGGTATTGATTTGGATAACATTTACTCTCACCAAAACGGTCCTACGTGTCACATAAACAAGAAAATCGTCGATCTTTTAAAGGTAAACTTTCCGGAGCGTGCTAACTCATCGCGAATGGCCGCCTAGATCTTCTGATTTAACACCTTGCGACTTCTGCCTTTAGGATTACGTGAAAAATAAGGTTTACGCCAATAGACGGACGTCGATTCACGACTACTAAGATGAAATTCGTGAAAATATTTGAGGGCATGCAGCCGGCACTTTGCGATTTGGTGTTGGAAAATTTCATAAAAAGGATCAGAATTGTAAGTGAAACCGTGGCGGCTATATGACTGATACTGGAGATAATTATCCGTTCACTTTTTTCAAAAAATTCCATTTTTCTTGGAATACCGAAATAATATCTTTAATTGCAAAACCCTTTTATATGTCCAATTAGACAATAATGTACATATAGACATGACCATCATTCGAAATAACGCTCGCTTACGGGCTTAGGTTACCGCAATGAGTGAGTGGCTAGCATTGTGTACCAACTTTCGCAAGTTCAGAATTTGAATCCTGGTCCAAACAGTATCAAAAATTAATTTCTGTGGTTTGTGGTCACCGCTCAGCCAGAACATTTCAGGCCACTGATTGCATTAACGACATTAAATAAAGGCAGATCAAAAGAATCCACCAGCCATTCAGAGCTGGCTTAGAATAAACTGCAGGTCCCTTCATTTGTTGGAAAAAAGTCAAAACTAACTGTATGTACCTTCATTAGAATTGTTTATTCTTTTTTATACAACTTCATTTTTTTTTTTTTGAGAAAACGTCAAAACGAACAAAAATTGTTTTATAAAAATTTTGAAAGGTCTATCCCTCACTAAGAAAAAGTTATAAACATTCAATTGAGTATGAGCTAAGGATGACTATAGAGCTTGAAGTTATACTTCCCTTTACCGAAGCATAAACTTTGATGAAATAATGTCGGCAGATTATTGTTCATCTCGAACTAAAATTAATAAGAAGTTTAAAAGGTTTTATCATCACGTGGACAACATATTCTGTCTGTATATTTATTTATCCTTTCTCTGGGAGAGTCGTCGTCACGTCACTTCCTCTTTTGCAGCAGACAACATCAAACCTTTCTGCAATGTTGGACAAACTAAGATGCTTGATAGTATGGGTTGCAGACATAACAACAAGTTGGCAGGTTTGAAAACACGTCTAAAGCTCTTTACAGAGGCCTAGGTGTAATGGTTTGATGCAGGGCTACCCTTATGTGCAAACAACAAGCACAGGAATGGCTAAATGACTTTTAAATATTCTATTTGTATATTTTTTTTTGTTGTTTTGGACTAAGTAGGCAATGGAAAATTAAAATCCTCTCTTGACGAACAACAATTAAACCCTACAAGTCTCGTATAATTCCCGTTCTCATATACGTATGTTGCAGAGACATGGATGGTACCGAGAGAAAAGTTGTGTAGAAGATTTGCGATGTGCTGTCTGTGTTATACGTCATCATTGCTACATTATGTATGCCAGCTTTAAAATTATTTGATGCAAAACCCGCTGTCGGAGGCAGAGGCAAAAAGAGAAACCTCAACTATTCGTGTGGGTTAGGGGTTTAAGAATTTACTCGTGGTACAGCATGCCTGTCACAAGCCCCGACTAAAATTTAATAGTTCCCACGACAGTCGGGTATTTATAGGGAAACGATACGGATTTTAATTCGGCCAAGAGCTTTCACGCTCGGGGCATATTTATCCGGTTGCAACCACAACTACAACATCTACTAAACCATCTACTTTATTGGAAGGATAAAGACGAAAATGACCTGAAGTTACTGAGCAGGCGGACTAGCTGGCTCGTCCTAAAACAGTGGATCGTTGAGTTGCATGTAGGGTTCTGTGTCGTACCACTTAATTATTGTGAGCAGCGTGGATTGCAGACAATTCAAGTCCATATTTGTATCAACAAAATAGAACTTCTGTATCCATGTGGGTGTATTGATGGCTCTTTTGAGAAGTTAAATCCACGAGCTAGGCAAAATGGAATCGACAGATTGTAGATCTTATACAGAGCACAACGAAACTCGGGAGTACTGATTTTGCGAGGGTTGGATTGACATGTCATAGGATTCCCAAAGCAATAGCCTTACGGCGTTAAGCACCCAAGGTTGAAAAAAATTAAAAATATTTATCGTGAGGGCTGTTCTTAAACGCATAGTTGAGGTACGGAAGAGATCACAATGTGACTACTCAAGTGCTTAGAAGCAGCAGCTGGTCTGACCCTTAACCTCATCTGTCAACCAACCAACTTTATATGCAAATTCATATTTGTTAAAAGAAAAATTTTTGGTGTTGTAAATAAATCGCATATCCCAATATCAAACTGTTAATATTTTGGCCAACACTGTACGTGCAGCACAGCAAAGTTTATGCTCCCCTGCGTGTGTTTGTTGGCTTGGGACCGGCACTTAGAGCAGAAGGCGAATGGGAAATCATTACAGTCACATTTTTACATTTTAGTAACTAAACCACACACCTACATACATACATACATACATACATACATACATACATACATAATAAATATATGCTTTTATTTGTCCACTTAGGGTTGTGACTTGATCGCTTTTGATTTCCGGGGAAACTTAAGTAAAAATTGAAATTAAAAGCACGCATGGGTTGGTCAAGCTCGATACTCCCACTACACACATAAGTATACACATAGAATATACATAAACCACATAAAACCGAATAAACGCAACACGAGAATTTTGGAGCGTGCTCATTGGAATCAAAAGCTCATTATGTGGGACTCATGATGGAATTTTCATCATGGCGCACTGGCTTGCGTGACAATGCGTGTGGAATTGCTTAGAAATAGCTAATTTCTCACAATTCAACTTGGTACTTACTTATATGTAATGCATGTATGTATGTACGTATGTATGAAATAATATATAAAAAATCTGCACAGTTATAGTGATGACTGCATTTGCCATTGAAAGTCGTAAAGTTTATGTTCGTGACCTTGTTGGTACCCACATCTCTGCCACTGTGATATGCTGCCATTTGGAATCCCTTTGCGTCTTAATGGACTTTACACTACATTTAAAATTTTGGTTTAATTTAAGTAGAGAATATCAACCCCGCCGAGTGTATTTCTGACATGAAATAAAAGTTCTCAAAAAAGGACTTCGGCAGTTCCGAAGCGGCTTAGTATAAATTGTAGGTCCATCCCGATTTGTTGGAAAAACATCAAGACGCAAAAACCATAAATTGGAGGAGGAGCTCGGCCGAAAGACGCCTCAGCGGCTACAAAGCGCCAATTATATATATGGTATATATAAAGGGAGATTTTTTAAGAGCTATAGGAAAATTTCCAAAAAAAAGCATATAAAATTCAGAAAAATACATGAAATCTTTATGTGAATCGATAGTACGGTCCATATAATTTAATGTTTGACGATTATTTTATGCCAATATTGATCGTGACTGCACCCTTGACCCTTCCGCTTGGTCCCGTTTTGGCATGCTCTTTCCAACATTTCAGCCGGCCGGTATCTAACGAATAAATGCTTCAATGTTCTCCTGCAATGCGTCAATTGAAGCGGGCTTAACGGTATAGACATTAGATTTAACACAGAACTACGATCTAGGCTTCCAATTGACCGATCCCGAACGTGAAATGAATTGTTCACCGAACTCGCCTCTCAATAAGTCCTTTGTTACGCGTGTTGTGTAGCATGTGGCACCGTCTTGTTGAAACCACAGGTCATGCAAGTCAAGCTCTTGCATTTTAGACAAAAAAAAGTTAATTATCATCTCACGGTAGCGCTCACCAATCACAGTTACGTTACGATTCGCATCAGCTTTGAAGAAGTATGGTCCAATGACCCCACCAGCCCATAAACCGCACGAAATTCTGACTTTTTCTAGATGCATTGTTAGCTCCAGCAATGCTTATGACTGATCTTCACTCCAAAATCAACAGTTGTGCTTATTTACGCACCCATTAAGCCAAAAATGAGCTAGAACTTTCTTAGAAGAGCCGGCATTTTGATATTAAAATTCGCGAAAAGAGCGTCAGTGTCAGACTTACCATCGGTTTCTCTTCGAAGTTGTTGAAGAGTTCGCCTTAGAAGTGGCAATTTCTGCCTGAGCCATTAGAGTGGATCAAAGCTGTTCTATTCATCTGGAGGTGCTCAATCATGTCATCTTTCTTGCCATCTTAGTTCAGATGAATTTGCAGGATGCGCTGGTGCATTATCCAAAATTAGCAAAGCCTTGTTGCTTAAGTAATTGTCAAGCAATTTTTTTACGTCTGTATAAAATTAATTTTTGGAACCAATCTTCAAAAATTGTTTTGGTCATTCAAGCTTTCTTGTTAGATCTCCATGTGAGGTTCGGAAACATATAACAAAAGTGGTTTTTAGCCTAAATGCACCCGCGGCATTTGCACCGAGCAGCAGGGTTAATCCTTTTTGTCCTCCTTAGACACCTTATAACTGGGCGTAGAATTTTCGGATGTAGAAATGTATGTACGTGCGATCAGACAATCGCTTCACTTGGTCAGGATTGTAACCACGTTTTTCCATTATGCCTTTTAAGATGTCGGGATATTCTCTAGGTGCGTCCTCATCGGCGCTAGCTGCTTCACCCATCACTTTCAAATTACGCAAAATCAATCTGTTTTTAAAAATTCCGAACCATTCGCGGCTTGCTTGGAATTTGAAATCTTCAGTAGATTCATCGGTATCTCCACTCGCTACATTTTGGAAAATATTTAAAGCTTTTTCCGGAATTGTGATTTGACTCATTGGCATTCACCGTATGTTATTGTCCTTAATCCATATAATTAACCGTTTTTCCATTTTTTCGATAATCCAGTTGCTTTGACGAGTTCATCTTGAGACATTTAAAGGTTCAGCAATTTTCTCTCCAGGGTAATACTTCAAGTTTAGTTGCCAGCGCGACTGAGTTTCGGCTTTTTTTTGACAGTCTCTGAAGTGGATTATCGTTTCGGTGGCACGATTTTGGCCCTTATAGCGAAAATGCGCCATAATTGAGCAGAGCAAGGAAATTACGCACGAAAATCGGTAGTTTGTGGAGCACTTTCTCTTTCTGCGGCTCTAATTCAGAGCGTGGTCGAACAGCCATCACCATCAATTCGACACCAATCGCAAGAATTCAATATTTCGTTCAGAATTTTATACAGCAACCTGTAGGCTTATAAAGTCCAATTTGACCAAGAACTTAAGCCACATAACCAATCGACGCGGCTTTGCTTTGTTCATTGCACTGAAGATCGCTGGGCAGAAGATGAGAATTTTTAAGGAAAAGTTATTTCTACCCATGAGCTCATTATGATCTCAGCGGCTACGTAAACAAGAAAACACTACCACAATTAGGCTCATGGTGTGGCATGTTGAAAGATAAAACCATTGGTCTTGGTTTCCTCGAAAAATTTTTTTGTAGTTTTGCGTCTTGATGTTTTTCCAACAAATGGAGGGACCTACAGTTTATACTAAGCCGTCTCCGAAGGGCTGGTGATTTTCTTATGAGACGCCATTATTTCATGTCAGAAATACAAAATCGGAAGGGTTGACATTCGCTTGCCGAGGGGCGACCGCAAATGGAAAATTTAATTTAATTTTTTTGTTTGAATTGATTTTCTGTTACTTTTGGATGTTGGTCTCAGTGCCTTCCAAATGGCAAATATCATATAGTAAGCCGTTGTCAATTGCTAAACAGAAGTATGTGCAAACCATGCAGAGACAATTACTGACTTGAGACACGAAATTGTAGTGGCTGTTGTATGCCCGAACGAATTCCATCTTTAAGGTCTTGATCCAACCTGTTAGCGTAAATCTTATCTTTCACTGGAGAAGTCCCAGAGTGTTAAATTTCGATCGATTCTTAGAGAGATAACATGGTCCGGTCACTTTTCCTTTGGAAGGTCAATGGTATTGTTGCTTATGTGCAACTGCTGCTCCAGCTTCAAAGGAAGGTACAATGCCGGACCATAGACCATTCCACTAAGTTACAGCTTAAGTATGAAGAGGCTTTTCAGCAGAGTGCCAGATACGACAGTTTTGCTTATAGGCAGTGTAGCTATCGATCTGGAATTGTTTTTCATTAGTCAAGATGATTTTTCGATGAAACTACGCAACATTTTCATGCATTTCAAGGATCCAATCAGCAAAAACACGATATTGTTGATGATCGCCCGGGTTGAGTTCTTGAATTAACTGAACTTTATAAGCCTTAAGACCCAAGTCTTTGTGCAAAATACGGTGCACGGATGTTTTATGGAAATACCACTGCCAAAAAACAACTAGGAATGAATAAACCTGGGTTTCTTCCAAACCTTTGGGCTACAGCAGCAATATTCCCTACAGCTCCATTTTTTCCACCAATTTCTAGAAAGATCCTTTATATGCGAGTATCTTTTAATTTATTATCAATTAAATTTTTAGAATTTCATTTTCAGCTAACATCTTTTCAAGTTTTAAAATTAAGTAAATGACAAAAAGTATAAGAACTCTCACTCTTGTTCCTGCCACCGCCACCCACTTTTTGAGTAAGTGTACATTTGCATTCAAGAATCTTCAATAAATGCTAAACATTTATAAGCAGACAGCGTCATCATCATCGCCATTCACAGCAGACATTTTCCGACATCATTGACACACATACTTAAATACATACATACAACGTACATATAATATGAAGTCAAGTGCGCATTGCATGGAAGTTTCCACGCATTCACACAAACAACGAGTGAACTAGACTTCATCTTACACTCAATCGAACATACATTTGTATATGATAAATGCCTTGGCAAAACGTATTTTCCTCTACTTTTCATATATATTGTATTTCACATACATACCTACAACACCTCCGGCACACTTACCTTCTGCATTCACGGGCAAACAGAAAATTGTCAAACCTTTGAGCGTGATGATGATAAAATCGCTTTATTTAAGTTATTCACCAATGACTTTGACTTATACTGTTCGGCCGCTAGTTGTTGCTGTGATTGCTGCAATTTGTTGAAACGATTGGAAGATAAGAACTGCTAAATAAATATGCTCCAAACAAGTTAGTTAAGTGAGACTTTTGGTAAAGAAAAAATTAGCCTTTATTCTTACCATTTTCTACATTATAAAGGGTGTCTTTTTTAGACATGTGGTTTCCAGAGCAGAGCCAAGATTTTAGTACTATTATAAAATCAAGGGGTTTTTATTGTGTTTTCCAAATGATTTCGAGCAAGTAAACGACGCCCGTGGCTGGGTCGACGTTAAAAGTCTTGGGTTTATCTGCATAGACAAGTGACTTCACATAACCTCACACAAAATCGCACGATCTTGGAGGACACGCCATTGGTCCGCGACGCGAGATAACGCGCTGGGCAAAAGTTTCGTATAATAAATTGATTTTTTTGTTGGCTATAAGACAGGTAGCCGAGTGGTTAGCATTGCGTACTGCCGTTCGAAAGGCTTGGATTCAAATCCTGATGCCGTAATAACATCCAAAAATGTATAAAAAATTAATTTAAATAAAAAATTAAGTTAAATTGTCAACCCCTCCGAGTGAAATAAAATATTCCCCGTAGTAATCTATCAGCCGTCCGGTGGCGACTAAGTGTAAACTGTATGGCCCTCCATTTGCAGGAAAACCATCAATACGCAAAACCATAAGTTAGAGGAGGAACTCGGCCGAAAATCGCTTCAGCGGTTGAAAAGTGCCAGTTATATTATATTATGTCAGACGGGTACCGCAGTCTTATTGGAGCCAAAGATCGTCCTCATCAGGTTCATCCAATTCAGGCACAAAACATTCATCAATCATGACTTCAAGGCGTTACCCATTGACTGTAACATTACGGCTAGTTTCATTTTTGAAGAAATATGTAAGAATGATTCCCTCGGCCCGTAGATTTCGTTTATTATCGCTACCATGCCAGCAAGAGAGAGCTTCCTCGCTGTTTGATGCTGCGCTTGATGATCGTTCGGCTTTAATTCTTGCACGAATGGGATTTTATAAGCCCTCAAACCAATTTAATTCCACAAAATCGTCTATAGAATGGATGGGCACCGCTCCAATTGTTGCACGCGATGGCGAATGGGCTCATTCCGGTCTTCTTCGGTACTCTGCTTCACAACAGCAATAGTGTAGTTGGTACAGTGCGCATCAAACGTCGTCTATGAGTATACTCTTTATCCAACAGGGCGATTATGCCAACCGAATTTCGGAAAAACCGAACCATTAACCGTTGTATCAAAGTAAGTCTGTTCGAATGACAAACCAAATTGAGTATAAATCAAGTACAAGCTGTTAAGAAGATGAACACCGAAGAAAATATTACCTCATTGAAAAGCACACTTCTAAAAAAACACCCTACACATATATACCTGAGTATAAAGACGTGATTATCTAATTGCGGCCAAAGTTTCTTGTCTTACGCGGCTAATAACATGTACATACGTATTAGTCAAATCACTTTCATTTTGGTCAACATGAAATCCAATTATCCCGCCCAATTGGATTTTATTACATTTCCTGTAAGGTGTGTGTGAAAAAGACACATTAAATGCAACCTTCCGTGCCTATTCACTTATGGACATGTTCTCCTTAATCACCATCAACTTTGACATGCAAGCAGATAAATTTGTCAAACGGCAGAATATTAATGTGTCGTCCATCTCCAGGAGCCTAACTCAGCCATTGTCATACACTGAAAGTACAAAAATAAATTAACAAAGTGCACTTCAGGTACGTTATAACGAGTTCGAATGAAATATTATTTGAATACCGTTAATCACATTCTTTACATTCAACGAAAATAGACCTATTTTATTTGGTTTCAGCAATTAAAGTTCATTGACAAGACCACCTAAAGGAGAGAAAGAATGATAAATAGCAAAAGAATGCCATCAATTAATAGTGAAAGCGCTTCAATTAGTTAAACTAAAATTCAAATTAGACTTAAGTTACAATTAAAATTAAAATTAAAATTAAAATTAAAATTAAAATTAGAATTAAAATTAAAATTAAAATTAAAATTAAAATTAAAATTAAAATTAAAATTAAAATTAAAATTAAAATTAAAATTAAAATTAAAAATAAAATTTTATGGTCGAAACTTTGTTATTGTCCATAAGAATATATGCATATATAGCGTAGGTTTAGAAATACAATAGTAGGCGACTTAAAATAAATACTTCTGAACGAACTTTTATGATCCATAAGAATGCTTAAAGAAATCATTTTGCAGACCGACAAACTTTCCATGTCGAACGTGTATGGTCATTTCCTTCACCATAACTTTAATGCAACTCATGAATTCAAATAACATTTGGCAAACATATTGCGTATGTATGTATGCATCTTTGCATATTATAAATACATTTTAACCTACTTTCCGGAACTAGCAAAGTAATGTTGTAACAGGACCACGCCCTACCAAAAAGTGCCTATAGTGCACATACATACATACATACATACATATGTAGAAATATGTCTACATTTGCTCATTGAAAGTACATTTTCTTATTTTATTGTATATGCATACATACATATATTGATATTTTCTAGGCATACTTAACGACTCTGCTTTTAAAGTAATAATAAAGAAAAACATGAATACATATCTACATATTTAAGTAACACACCTTACAATTTACCTGAAGCGTGTGTATGTATGAGTACATTTGAAAACTTTTTGCCTATTTTGCCAAACATTGAAGATGACTGGAAAAGAATTTGGAGAGAATAGAAATGATATAAAGCAGGTTCAAGACAAACTGTTCCTTCCTACGACACCGCAGACAGTCTTATCTCCACCTATCTGCCTGTGTGGCACCAGCATCTACGCCAATAACAATAATGTCAGCCTGGAAATCCAACGCGAAATCACTTCTTTGAACCGGTGCTATTGTGATTGATTAGGCTATCGAAAAATAGAGCGCTCTCTCGTTAAACGAGAACCAAAACTTTACAAGTTCCACATCATACCCGTCTTTAAACAACAGATAATGCAGAAGCTTGGACAATATCAGGTCTAGGAGTCTTCAAAAGAAGATTTAAGGTACTCTGGTCCTCATAGGAGGCTAAAATCATAGACGATGGAACAATGAGTTTTAGGAGATAGTCGATAACATTGACAGCTGAAAGTTGGAAACGAAAACAAACTCATAAGGTTCAATGCAGTTTCTCTTGGTGAAAACGGGGCAAGGCCTTCACTCTGTTGAAAAGATCTGGTAGCGAGGGAACTGAATTCACAAGGTGTCTGCGATTGGCGCCGAACTACTAAAAGAGAAAATTACAAACTCGCTATTGTTAACGGTATCATAAGTGTAACCAATTCCTGTGCCAATTAAGAAGAAGCAGCAACCTGACAGCAATTACATGACTGATGCATTAACTGTGGTCCGGAGTATGTAAGTACCAAAAGTCTCCTTCTATTCAGGGGTTCCTTGATCGAGTACGCTTTGGCTTGTTAACTCGCTGTGATATCTATGGTGGGGTCTATAGAAGAGATTCCTCTCACCTTTGTAGATGCTAAGACCATCTGGTTTGTTTAATGAAATACATGAGCTTATTGACTATTATAGCCGAGTTAACCATATTGCGCAGTTCATTTCTTCTTTTCGCTGTTGAGCGCTAATTGGAAATACCAAGTACGGTCAAGGTCTGCTCTACCTGGTCTCACCAACGGAGTGGAGGTTTCCTCTCCCTCTTGAAATTACCAATGAAACGACGTCTTCCTGCACTAAGGCGAGACAGAGGTAGTACTTCACCGTCTCCTCCTTGCCTAACCTCCTTGTGCAACCGCAGAGAAACAGCTCATCTTCCTATCATGAGTCTCCATCCAACTGTATTCGGTATTTACGCCGGTTGTTATGCTCATGAAGATTCTGTTTAGAAGAAGTAGAGGCTGAATTCTATTTATATCGATCAATGAGCAGCTCTGCCTGGTCTCATTGCTTGTATTTGCTGGTGAAGGCCGATCTTAGTAGGTATTTTCCAGCATAGTGTGCAGAGTTTTTTGCTAACTCGTCAAACACGTTATTCTCTGGGCCCGGGTGGCCGCCCAACCACGGCCATTTTGCATACAGTCGAGAGTTTGTTTGAGATTTTCCTTATTCTTATTGCCGCCTTTGCGGTGATGTGATTACAATTAAAATATTTAATGACAGCTTGGATGTCAGAATGTATTGTGATAGGCTGAGTTACTATATTGAAGTTCAGTAACCATGAAGTGGCTTCCATTATTGCTCTTAGTTCAGCTTGAAATTCACTGCTGTGGTTGGGAAGTCTCTTGCTCATGAAGTTAGTTGGCTTTGTCTGTCTGTCCGTCAGGTTTGGATATATTCATACCACCGCTTTTATATTTCTAAGGTACCATAAGTTATCAAAATCGGGCGACTATAACTTATTGATCCCATAGACCGATTATTTCAGATATAAGACAAATAAGATTGGGCAAAACACCGTTAAAAAAAGCATCTAAAAGTATGAAATTTAATATTCTAAAGGCAGAAAATTATAGAGATTCGTACCCTCTCAGCATTGAAAAACTTGGGTATGGGAGATACTATATTTATGAAAGGCAATGATAAAATGGCTTCATGATAACGGCGTTCCCTATTTCATTCAGGTCCCTTCATTTCATCTCGTAAATAAAAGAAGTACCTTCTTACTTTCAAGTTCTTTAACGCACCTAAAGCTTCTGCAAAATTCTTTCGATTGTCTCAAATAGTTTGCATCCTGATCATTGGAGACGGGAGCATTGCCATCAACTTCCAGGAAAGCACTACTAACTCTTCCCAACATCCTCCCTTGAATATAGGTGGGAAACTACAAGCGGCTATGAAGTATAGGACAAACAAAAATATTATCTCTTATAAAAGTGCCGAAAAAGCTAGACTACACCACCTCCAGTGCATGCTTCGAGCCCCTTTTCAACACCAACGCGCCCGACCAGGGAGTAATAGCCATCTTCACAGACAACTCGAAGTTTGAAGGGAAGGTGGGTTGCGAAACTTATTCTCCCGTGCTCCCAGTAATCATTACATTGGGAATACCGGATCACTGCAATGTTTTGCAGGCGGAGATCCTAGCAATCATGGAGGCCGCGAAGTGGTTGCACAAGCTTACAATTTACTTCGACAGGCAGTCAGATTTCTTCAATGTAACGGTACCCCGTACTGTAATTGTGTGTGTACTTGGACACAGGGACATCCCAGGCAATTGCATGGCAGACGAACTCGCAAGAGAAGGAACCCTTCTACCTCCGATAAAACACGCACACGATGCTGGCTTACCTCTGTCCACGGCTAAGAACATACTTAAACTGGCCTTCACCACGGAAGCTGACTCACGATGGTTGAGTGAGATCACGTGCGACACGACCAGACAGTGATGGCCGAAGTTGGACGAGAAAAAATCAAAACGTCTTACCCTTTAAGACCAGTTCACTATTAGCATAGCGACTGACATAAAAACTGGGCACTGTTTAATGTGGATTCACAGTAACAGGATGGGCTTTTGCTCTAACAATTTCTGACGAAGAAGAGGAGGAGACTAGCTCTACCACTGCCCAACCTAGACATGCGCGCTAGCCAAGTTTCTTGAGAAATACTTTTTCGACTGTCTCGCTAAGTTGGCCTCTGCAAAAGGTTCGATCATTTGAGAGGGTGAAAGCAGGAGCTTCAGCGGTCTCACAATGGGCCTATTGGCCCAAGTGTGCTGATGTTGACCAGCAGCCGCATCAACTCAACTCAACTCCTTACACTTACATTCTTACTTTCTTAGAATAAGCACACTCATTGATATTGCCCCCACTCTTGGCATCGGGTCCAATGACGACGCAGAATAATATTTGATTAACAACAGCTTGCATTTTCTTATCACATACTTAATTTATTGTTTTTGACAGCTAGATTTTGACACAAAATCAATTTTTTATGTGACACCTTCCCTATAATTACATACATATTTACATTGTTGTACAAATATTGTATCTGCTTTGGAAATATAAGTGACTGGCCAAGTCTACCAATTGGAAATTATTTTATACTATATTATATGGTGTAATATTTTTACATATTTCTGAATAACTGCGCAATACATGATTGAGGTCCAGTAAGGTTTACAATGTACGTATATATATATGCCCGATTTCAAATGCAAACTAAAATTGAAATTTTTTGAAGAAAGCGCTTTTATTAATCAATTATGTATTCGCCATCATGTTCGGCAATCCACTCCCAACATTCAACCAATTTACGGATGCCTGATTCATAGAAATCGCGCGGTATCTCGTTGAAAAAGGTGTCAAGGTGGTTTTTGACGTCTTCCACATTTTTAAATTTTTTTCCATTCAAATTGTTCTGCAGCGATCGAAACAAATGATAATCAGAAGGTGCAATGTCGGGTGAATATGGGGGATGCGGCATGATTTCCCAATTCATCTCCTTCAATTTGGCCAGGGTCGGTTTTGCAACATGTGTCCTGGCGCTGTCATGATGGAAAATAACTCCTTTGCGATTGGCCAAAATCGGACGTTTTTCATCAATTGCTTTCTTCAATTCGACCAATTGCTGACAATACTTGTTGGCAGTGATCGTTTCTCCAGCTGGCAAGAGCTCAAAATACATCACGCCTCGGATATCCCACCAAATGCACAGCAGTACCTTCATCGGATGCAATCCACCTTTCGACATCGGTTCCGCCCCTTCGTGTGCCTGTTTCCATGTTCCTTTGCGTTGCACATTGTTGTACAGGATACATTTTTCATCACTAGTCACGAGCCGATCCAAAAAAGGTTTGTTTTTGATCCGTCGAAGCAAAGTAATTGCTGTTGACATACGGTCCACTTTTTTTTTTCACTCAACTGATGTGGCACCCATGTTTCGAGCTTCAAAGTGTACCCAACCTTTTTCAAACGACGAAACGCAGTTGATTTCGATTTGCTCCTTTATCTTTACAAGGTTAATCTTGAGTTATGCAATAAATGGTGCAGAACTGACAAGAACCTTTTCCACTTTGCCTCGACTTAATCCTATACTTAACCCGATTCAACTGGTGCTAATATCGGTCTCGATTAAGAAGCACTTCCCGTTTGGAGGTGTGAGTTCCGATGCTTTGCTTAGATGATGGAAGGTAGTTGTAAGCAGACTTCAAGTTGTTTATGGGATTCTATGAAAGTCTAATATTTTCAGCCTGAAGCTCTGAAGTGCACTTTAACTTGAACATTAAATCTACTAAACCAAGTCAAAAGGCTTCCATTATTTTTGCATTAAATTGAAGGATTAATTTACCATAATTAGAATTATCTGTGAAATGTGGCTCGATAATTTTTTGTCTTTTTGAATAGAATGTTATTATGCCTCTCTATCATATAAACCTTCCTCCTTATTAGGAAAAAATTAGGTCAATCGATTTTCACAAGCTTCTCTTCAAGCCAATCCGTTACCAGTCACATCGTTCACTATAAAATGGAGCAGATGATAAGTACTCGGAGCGTGATCGATAGTAAAAGTTGTATATGATGTGGATCGATTAGTGTGATCTGGCGTTATCTTTATGAAATACAAAACCCCTCCTGTTGCCTAGAGCTGGACAATTCCGGGCTACTATGCTTCCTTCAGACAGTTCAATTGCTGAAAATACAGTTCTGAATTAAGAGTTTGGCCGTAGGAGAGCAGCTTAAGGTAGATCATTCCATGGCAATTCTACCAAACAAGCAAATAAAAATCTTTCTGGACGTCAATTTTGACTTGGAGATCATTTGTGCCAGCTCACTGCCCTTCGACCACGATCGTTTTCCTGTCAGCAGCGATTGGAAATTCGGTACAGGAGAGTTCTTCTAGTTAACTAATGTGGCATCCATACATCGAGCCTCTTTGTCTGTCCAGGCTTTTTCAAGGGTTTCAAATTGTTTTTTTGTGCAATTTTTAGCAACCGAGCAATCGAAGCAGCGATTCGACGATTTCAATTGTTTTATCGATATTTTCGACTATTGGTCTTCTAAACCATGGATCAGTTTTTCCATTAAAATTACTGGAACGAAATCGAAAAAAAACTAAAAGTTTGTCTGATTGACCGTTACAGTATCAGGACCACAGCTGTCTGACTTGCGATATCACCTTTGTCGAAGAAAAATTTTAGAGGGTAAGGAAACGATTCAATTAAGTTGTAAATAATGTACGAAGAACAGTAAATCTTAAGCAAAACAAGAAAAACTTTCAACACCGTCTCAACAGATATTGTTAATGTTCTTGCCTCCGCACCATAAAGCAGGTCAGGAATGATGAGCGACTTGTAGAGTTTGGTCTACGTTTGTCGAGGGAGGACTTTTAGTTTCAATTACCTGTTCAGACCGAAGTAGCACCTGTTGACAAGAGTGATTCTGCGTGGGATGTTAAGAATGACATTGTTGTTGATGTAATCCTGGTCCAAGATACACGAAGTTATCTTATGACTAACGACAGTGATCTAGAAGCGTCGTCGTTCGCTACCAGACCCATATCCTTGGCTTTCTTACGCAGTCTGGAGAAAGCAATACTCACAGCGCGATTGTTGAGGCCAATAATGTCAATATCATCGGCGTACGCTAGTAGATGTACACTCCTATAGCAGATTGTACCTTCTCTATTCATCTCTGCAGCTCTTATTATTTTCTTCAGCATCAAATTGAAGAAATCACATGACAAAGGGTCAACCTGTCTGAAACCTCTCGTTTGGTATCGAACGGCTCGGAGAGGTCTTTTCCAATTCTGACTGCGCTTCTGGTGTTGTCTAGCGTCAGCTTACACAACCGTATAAGTCTTGCGGGGATACCAAATTCAGACATAGCGGTGTGAAGGTAGCCCTTTTTCCTTCTCTAAAAGGATGCTTTGAAATCGACGAAGATGTAGTGGTTGTCGATCCTCTTTTCACGGGTCTTTCCGAAGATTTGTCGCATGGTGACAATTTACTAAGTCCTAGGCTTTACTGATGAGGTTCAATCAGTACAGTACCTAAGTTCTAATCATTGGGCATGCTATTTAAAAGGAAAGGTCTTTAATAGCAACGAGTAGATATTTAGTGCGGTTAATGCTGAACTTGATGAGCTTAAAAAGCAAGATTGTGAACACTGTTTTCAGTAGGGGATCTTTAGGCTCAAGAAATGCATTGAAATCAATGGCAAAGATTACGAATAAATACAAAAAGAGTTTTTCTTTTTTTTCTTTTAGTTCACTTACCGAAGTTTTGTTAATCTCCTTGGATTTTCTCCACAAATTCAGTATGGTCTGGACATCAGTCGCTAGATTGTTTGTCCGGTCTTGAAACATTCTTTAAATTACCGCATCTTTTCGTAGCATCATCACTGACGGACAGCCTCTCAAGCTCTTCATACTCACACATCCATGACACTTTCTTTTTTACTGCACAAATGACTCTCTTCGGTTTTCAGTTCTCGGTATCTATCGCACGCCGACCATGTGATTTTTTTTAAAGTCCTTTTTTTATAGTTTTTTTTTTGTAATTCTCCGCTACTAGTTTCAACATACTTAAATTCTTTTTCCGATTTTATGTGAGACCGAGTTTCGAAGAATTCTCTCATAACAATGGCACTACCAGGTAAGAGGGTATGCGGGCTTACATATTGAAATAAATTACTCGTCTACCCTCCACTACCACTCAGTTAATGTGACACTCTAGCTCATACATACACCCTTCACAATGTCCTCCACGAGAAACAACAGGTGAGAGCATTGATTGCTAAGGGTGGTTACCCTTAAACTAAAACACCGTTGTTATGCCAACGAAACACGCAAACAAAACTAAGTTTTTCAAAGACACTTTAGTACGAAGAAAAAACTCCTCAAAAGTGTTAAACTAAAATTATAAGAATGCGTTTAAAGACTCATATTTGCAAGCGAACTTCGGTGAATAATAACATCGACTATCGACTACAGAATTCGGCAAGTCAGAGAAGCGCAAGTGGAAATAAAGAAAAGGCCAATAAGGAAAAGGCCAATATCACACCGTTGAGCTGTGTGGATTGGAGCAGCAATGAGGAGATTTACTTCGTCAGGTAAGCTGATTTGGAATAGACTCACGCCTAGTTTACGAATCTAACTCTTCCTGATTGCTCTCGACTGTTATAGTGATGACCATCAGATCTACAAATGGAGCGCTAATACACGTGATTCAGTGGAGGTGGCCAAATTGCCCGATGACTTCATACCAACCGACTTGCATTGGTTACTCTTGGGCGGACGCAGCAGCGGTGGCGGCAAAGGCAGCGACACTCTACTCATTTGCAGCAATGACGGTCGTTTCATTATACTGAACAAAAGTGCGCGTGTGGAACGGAATATATCAGCGCATAGCGCAGCTATAAGCACGGGTCGCTGGAGTCCAGACGGTGCTGGACTACTAACTGGTGGGTCGTTCACAAGTGATTTATTGCAATTAAATTTAATGAAAATTCCGTTTTTTTTATTCGCTACCCACAGCTGGTGAGGATGGTGTCATTAAGATCTGGTCGCGCTCTGGCATGTTACGCTCCACAGTGTTACAAAGTGACGAGCCAATAAGCTGTGCACGTTGGGCGCCCAATTCGACGTCTATTGTTTTTAGTCAGGGTTGTTATATGTCTATTAAGCCGCTGGCAGCGAACAGTAAATTAACGAGGGTAAGATGTGTCGCCAAAATACTCAAGAAAAGATTTGACATAATTTTTTCCACTCAGTGGCGTGCGCATGATGGTCTCGTGCTCTCGCTCAGTTGGTCCACGCATTCGAATATTATCGCATCTGGTGGTGAGGACTTTCGCTTCAAGATTTGGGATACTCAAGGTGCCAATTTGTTTACCAGCTCCACGGAGGAGTATGCCATAACGTCGGTGTGTTTCAATTCCGAGAAAGATGTGCTCGTTGTGGGCTCCTTTAATATGCTGAAACTCTGCTCCAGTGCTGGCGTGAGTATATTGAATATTACTACTCTCTTTACTGGCAAAACACTCAACTACACCAATCACACAGTGGTCTTATAGCAGTTGTCGCTTTAGTGAACCGACTGTTGGCTCTTTCTACACCATGTCTTGGTCAACGGATGGCACACAAGTGGCTTGTGGCACTTCCACGGGCAATCTTGTTGTTGGTTATATTGTGGAACGGCAATTGATCTCACGTAATCTGAAGGCCACAACAACCGGCCGTAAGACGATAAATTTACAGGACATCACTAATGGCAGCAGCGATGTTTTGGACTTTCCGGAACGTGTCATTAATTTTGGCTTGGGTTATGGTCACCTCATAGTGGCCACTTCGAATCAATTGCATATCTACAATGAGAAATATATAAATACACCGATCATCATAGACGGCAGGACGGATGTGCGTGTTATTGAGGTGGGGAAGAAGTGAGTATAAATATATACGTACATAATCTAAACAGCACTCTTAGACCATTTCATCTCAACAAATTTTTAAAGCGGATTGCCCACTGAGTCGTCCTTCCATCAAAGGATTGATGGAATAAGAAAACCTAATCGATATCATCGAGGTTACGTAATAGTCAGTCGAAGAGACGAGCTCTTTCGATGTTCTCGGACCAATGTTAAGGGGTGATGAGAAGAATCGATTTGGAGAAACATGCGAAGTTGTTGATAGTTTTGGGTGGCACTAATTTCATTCGCGATAAGTCTGATTTCAGCTTGATAAAATAACCAGAGCTTATTTGTGCCATGATTACTCGGATCTCACCAGCGTTAACTCTTCGTCTCTAGCAGGGGATCATATTCGAATAAAGCAATTCATCAGGAGAGAATTGAGGAATGTGTTCACCGGCTCTCCTTGAATGGCTCTTAAGGCTGGTGTATAAAATATCGTATCTAACGTGTCTGTGAAGTAGTACTACATTGAGTATATGTAGTCTCCCCGAAGATAGTTCCGTCTCAAAGAATGATTCATTTGGTAACTCCTAGGAGCACAGACGTTTCATTATGAGGGTGGTATACTGATAGATTCAGCAGATTTCTAAACATGGACTTCCAGGCTCCTCTTCGACTCAGTGGTTCACTACTGAAAATCTTTTTCTTCGATGTTGAGTTACGACCTCACGATTTTTTAGATGCTGAGGAATTATGGGAGTAACATTATTTTTGACTGATCTAGGAACGGCTTGTGTAGGTATAACTCCACGTGATATTTTTCTTCTTCTACTTCCTAGGGTGGCTACGGCATCGAATACTTCAAAAATTGTGTGTGTTTGCCCATAAGGACGAAAGGACCTGGCTAGCGTGGCTCCTGTCTCTTCATTCACTGCACTAATTCAATGTTGGTGGCCGCAATAGCCTATCCCTGGAAGGCCAGTCGAGTATTCGTTCGACCAACATCCAAAATTAAGGCAAATTTAGTTTTCTAATTGCGGTCGCCCATTGGTAGGGAATGGCAACCCCTCCGAGTGTATTGCTGATATCAAGTAAATGCTTCTCATAAAATTCCATCGGCCGTTCGGAGGTAGGTCCAACACCAACACGCAAAGTCACAAGTTGGAGAAGGAGTTCGGCCGAAAATTAATTATATATACGTGTATGTCATCATCTGAGATATATGCCGTTGCAAATGCGAAAACGGCCCTGAAGGACTTTTCTCTCCAGAACTCCTAACACCGTTGTCGTCTTGTGGTGGAATGCCGACCACGCGCAGGTTTTTGATGTAACAATCCATCCTCCCTGCGGATGCGAATTGAATTGGAGAAGAAGCTCCGTTGAAATGAAGATATTTAGTGAATTTTCCAACCACGCTTAGGGACAGGCTAGTTAATTCAAGTCACCGAGCTTATCTAACGGGAGGTCAAGGAAACGAGCTATTTCGACGGGTTCGAACCAAAGGAAGAGGGGAGTTAAAAGTAATGGTTTTAGGGAGCACATCTTTACATGGTGTTTAGTGTTGTGCAAGGACTCGTTACATGCTGTACATACGTTAGGTATCTGGGGATCGAGTCTGTATAGGTAAAAGTTTAACCTGCTACAATATGCAGACCTGAGATCTGCCAGTATTACACGGGACTCTCGAGGTGGCCCATGCTCTTCCTCTACTACAATATGCAGACCTGAGATCTGGCTGTATTACACGGGACTCTCGAGGTGGCCCATGCTCTTCCTCTACTATGGGTGGTGAATAGGCTCAGAGTTCGACTCTTGCTGAAAAGTGTTTATTGCCGGTCTGTACACCGTTGTTGATATCCAAAGTTGGAGCGGTAATTTTTGTTTTTTGACTCAGATAACGCTTACCACACTTAGAATATACTCGTAGTATCCAACCTCTTTTGCTTTAGGAAAATACTTGAAACTTTTTCGAATTTCCAGATTTTTCATGGTCTTAGACGCCACTTCGATTTGGGTCTACACTTATTCCGGACGCTTGCACTTGAATCCACGTTACCCGGGCCTACAAGCACAAGTACCACTGCTCACAGCGCGTGCAGTCACGCTCGGTCTCGATGTCTTAGCTATACGCGATAATTCGGATAACACAGGTGAGAACAATGTGTGGAATTCAAAAAATCGGTTAACCTCATTTTGTATTTCCATGCACCTAGTGATACACATTTTCGATCTTGTGCCTGGCGCCTCACGACAATACGAACCCCACTCACTGCGCGCTAAATCTCAAATCGCCGAGATCTCAGCGTGTCGCGCAGGCACACTCGATGACCAGTACGTCGTGCTAATCGATAACAATCGCGAGTTGTACATCACAGAGTCGCGTAATCTGAATGGCGCTGGTGGTGGTGCTGCTGCTGCTGGCGGTGCTGGTAACGCAGAACGTGGTCTTAACGGGCGCAACAGCAATTGTGGTGAAATCTACAAAATTGGCACACAGCTAACAACCGTTATGTGGGCAAGTGAAACAAACATTTTAGTCGGGGTCCATGATACTTGCTACAGCATTTGGTATTGTCCAGGCGAGGGTGCCGCTGACCCCACACTGATTGCGCTCACTACACTCACCATAGATGCGACGTAAGTATCCCTCATATAGCACACGCTTCTTCATTAACTCACCATTTCGTGCTCCTAGTGAATTTGGTAAAAATATCACACTGGAATCCTTCGAGGACGCTATTGTCACATTCCGCTGCGCTGGCGCTCTCCTACCCGTCAATGTAAATATTTATTGTGAAATTTTACATCGCACGCTGATGGAGGGACAGTGGCAGCAGGCTTTGAGAATTTGTCGTCTTGCGCAGAATGGCAACCTCTGGGCAACATTGGCCGCGATTGCAACGCGTAAAAATCAATTGCAAATAAGCGAGGAAGCCTATTCAGCAGCTCTTCAGATCGACAAAGTCAGCTACTTGCAGTACATAAAGGTACGTTGTAAGCTCATACACATATTGCTTGATATTAATTCTGGAAATATGACTCCCTTCAACCCCAAGGAACTATCTTCGGCCAGCGCCGAACAAATGGCCGAGAACTCTCTAATGTTGGGTCGCTTAATTGAAGCTGAGACGATCTTATTGCATAACAAGAAGTTTCCCGAAGCTGTCGCGCTTTGTCTGCGCATGCATAATTGGCGGCGGGCTCTTGAGGTGGCCCAAAAGCATGAACCTGAACTTCTTGATAAGGTGTTGGAGCAAAGGCGTAGATATTTGAAAGCATTGCAGCGTGATGAATGGGACTCGGTATTCTTACCTCTGTTGGTTAAAGAAAGCGATGACAACTGAATGAAGTTAATAAAGAATACAACAATAACGATAAATTCTAGTATGCTTTCTCGACTTGACGGGCATCGGTCGAGAGGCGTGTAAGGTACTTATTATTAGAGGAATATTTGATATCAGGGCATTCCCAAAGAAAGTGCCGGTAGGTTACAGGTTCCTCTCTCTACAACTAGTGCAGAAATCTTCTCCCTCGGCCATTCTATCCTGGACATATTCCAGGAATAGAATACCTTCTGTGCATACGTGTATGCGGTGAACAACTTTTTTATAGCGAGTTTATGAGTGGGGAGCAAGATGCTCAGATTCATGAAGGAAACGAATGGGGAGGGGACTTACCTCAGCTCATTACGCGGTATGTTACAGTTGCCTGGTACCTATGCTAGGTTCAAAAGAGAACTGCTTAGATACTACAACAACTGTCTACATTTTGCAATTTATTGATACTTATCCCAGAGCTATTATTCCTATTCTTATTATAATGTAATGTGTAATGGACAGCATGTGAGACATTGCTCTTCAAAAAACAGACAGACCACTTCCTAGAGCGCGTGATCGGCTTGCTGGGCAGGATAAAACGTTCACAGGCGAATCGAAAAACTCAATATATCCTGTATTATTGATGTGCATTCGTTCCAAAGACACAACATGGACACAGGCCATTGTCTCGGAGCAAGAGAGAATCGCACTGCCTATGTGCGACAAAGATCGCCCATCAACAAACAAAAGGAAGCTTCGACATTGAAACGATTTCCTAATCGATTTGCACTTCTACTCTCTGAGAGCGCTCATCACCAACTCGGTATAAGGGTAGTGTAGGTCGACATTTCAAACTCCTTACGGTCAGCTCTAAACGCAACTATCGGGTTTTCGGAAACAGATTTCGCATTAGATACCAAACTGGCTGATTCGTTACGATCCACCACTACACAGACGGGAGTGGAATAGCCACCCAGAATTGAAGAGGGTAGCAAGTCGGCTGTGCAGACGAAAAGGAAAGATGGCTAGATATGAGCGCATGAAAAACTTGAGTTCTGGCAGACAAGGGTAATGCTCAAAAGCTCTACGACCTTCAGAAGGTTTCAAGAGCGGAGCAAACTCTTGCGGACTCAGAAAGGTGAACTAGAGGCTAATACTCAGGGTATGGAGGAAAAGCTACCCGAGTCTGTTCGATGACAGTAAAATTTGAAAACCAAGAGATGGCGAACACCATTCCTTAATCGATGACGATGTAACAGGTGTTTCACTGTCTTCGACAAGAGTGTACAGCTGCTGGCGTACGCCGATGATATTGACCCTATTGGCCTCAACAAGCGCGCCGTGATGGGGGGCTTTCTCCAAACTTATATAAGAATTTAAGCGAATGGGTTTGGTAGTAAACGAGGGCATGACGAAATAACTCCTTTCCTCAAACAAACAGTCATCGCACTCGCGACTCGATAGTCATAACTCTGATATGGTAGATAACTTCGTCTATCTAAGAACCAGTATTAACACCAAAGCTTAGAAATTATACGCAGAATATTCCTTGTCGACAGGTGCTACTCTATACTGAGTAAAAAGTAAAGTCCTCTACAAATAGCTCATTGTTACCGTTCTGCTTTATGGTGCGTAGGCAAGAGCGATGATAGTAACTGATGAGTCAGTCCTGGGAGTCTTCGAGAAAAATGTTTTTCGTAAAATTTCTGGTCCTCTACGATCTTCCGCTGCCGATGGAATGATGAGTTGTACGAGATATACGGTGGCATTGATGTAGTTCAGCGAATCAAGGCGGCTGCGTTGGCTAGATCATGTGGTCTGCATGGATAAGTACAATCCAGCCGGCGTAAGCGGTGTCTACGCATGAAAAGAAGAAGAAGAAGAAGAATAAGAACCTGCATGAACTTCATGTATAGCGGAATTAATACCTTTGTCTCAGAGTCTCAGAGTTGGGCTTCTGTTTAAAAAAAAAAACACAAATCTAGTGCGAATAAAATTTATTTATGAAATAAATAAATTAACAACACTTTTTGTAAATAACAATAACAAATGCGATTTTGGTGTACTGCCATACGTTGACACATATATTTATGTATGTATATATTGTACATAAATATATGAAATCAGAACACTTAATAGGCGGGGCAAATCATCGGTTTACCTTCCAGTGCGTTGAGGATATTATTGGCCGCTGTCAAACTCATTTCAATTGTGGTTTGCATTGTCTGCGTGCCCAGATGAGGAATGACAACTGTAAAGACAAACAAAAATATCTACATTAATAAAGAAATAAGGAAAACTAGTCTAGGGGCAAGTAGGAAGTACGTTATGAGCGATAAAGACAATAGGAATTATAAATATCAAATTTTTTCAAATTTCCTTGAAGGGTTTCTGGGACTAACTATTAGAAATTGTTTCCCACTTTTGATATTTTTTCACTCAAGGCGATGGTACCTAACTAATACCACTCACCTCTGCGGGTTAGGGGTGCAAGAATTTATCCGCGGTAAGGCGTGCCCGTCGTAAGAGGCGACTAAAATCCAATAGTTCCCGCGACAGTCGGGTCCTTATACCGAAATGATCTGGATTTTTCTCCGGCCAAGGACTGTCACTCCCTGAAAATTCGGTTACAACAACAACAAAAAACTACATTTCAAAAAAAATTGTATGTGTGGACGGCAACTTCATTCGATTTCATTTATATACAATAACGTCCATACTAATGACCCAAGGAATGTGTGAAGCAAGTTTCTTCAAAATATCTCAATCCACGCTTGAGCTATTATGTACACGGATGAATGGACAGAAGAAAAGACCGACAAACAGACAGTTATATCTTAGCTAAAAGTAAGCATCTCGTCATTCCATGAATTATGTGGCCGAATCTAACTCGATTATCTATGCCATTACTAGCCAGCTCAACAATCCTAATACGTATGCTCTCTATATATACGTACAGCTGAAAGTAAAAGAGTCGTTTTCAAAAATTTTCGGATGTTGGTTTGGCCACCTGACACCTCCGGGCGATATAATGTACTGCTGTCACTCCACTACTGTGGCCCATAAATATTAACTAAAACTGCGCTCGGTAGCAACGAATTGGGTATAAAATATAAGCGAATTATCACTAAAAATATATGCACTTACCACAGTTTGGCAGTTGCAGCAGTGGATCATTTGCTGGCAATGGTTCCGGTGTCATTACATCTAAGCCCGCAGCAGCAATTTCACCAGTTTTTAATGCATTAACAAGGGCAGGTTGATCAACAATACCTATTTTAGATTTATTTATGAGTAATTATTCAATAGAAATAATTTAGATTTCATACAAACTCACCTCCCCTGCCGACATTCACAAAGACACAATTCGGCTTCATTGCTTTGAAAGCGTCCGCATTGAACTTTTCCCGTGTTTCCGGTGTCAAGGGGCAAGCGACAACCAAAAAATCGCTTTCACGCAACAACTCCGCGAAAGACACATGAACTGCGCCATAAGGATTTTCGCGTTGTGTACGTGTATGATATATGAATTTGGCTGCGTCCCAACCTTGCAAACGCTTCGCAATGGCCTGACCAACGCCGCCAAAACCAAGGAAACCCACCACAGAACCGCGCACTTCTTGGCCCATTAACCAAATGATTTGCTCCGTGCGCCAAAGAGAGCTGCGAAAAACCATACAAAATGAGAGTGCGTTAATATAAACATACAAATGTATGTAAGAATGAATGTTTGTATATATAAAGCTTAAGCAATTTTTTTTTAGCTTGGCAGTTCCCCTACATAGTGTATAAGCTCTAAAAGCTTGTTAACCGACAGAATTTAACAGCACTGTTAAATCAGCTGTCGTTTTGTTTATTTAAGACTATCTGGAACTAGTTGATTGACCTTCAAATATGTTTTTGCGTTGTTTTGCTTTGTTTTGTCACTTTACAGTTATTCAATTCGACTCACTTTTCGATCTCTTTTCGGCCAGCATGAAAATGCCTACCGGCTGATATCATTAAACCAACTGCCAAATCAGCAACCGAGTTCTTCACAATACCTGGCGTGTGTCCCAATGGTACTTGCCGCCTCTTGAACTCCGCTATATCCGCGTAATCCAGACCTGACGACATTGTAGAGACCGCCTTTAATTGCTTACCGGCCGCATCGAGTATCTCGCCGTTGAGCGGTTGATAGTGCGCCCAGAAAATTGCATCCACACCGGGTACTTTGCGTATGATTTCGGCACGCGAGGGTGGAACACTCTCACATACAATTGTTTCGCAACCGCGTTGTTGCAGTAAATCCAGTGCCGCTTTAGGCACCGATGGATGCGAGACAAGTACTTTGTGGAGCGGACGTGTTACGCTGGACATTATTATTACGAGAATAAAAACAAAACTATATTAAATTTGTAGAAATGAACGTCAACGGCGGTGGAATACTGAGGCGACACTGAACTACTTCCTTAGCATTGCGGAGCTTTTGCTATGTTGTTGAGAAACTACAAATCATAGAAAGCTCGCGAGTACATATGTACATACACTCGTATATGTATGTATATGTAATGTAAATGTAAATACAAAAAGATGAAATAATGGATTCTATTGAATATCTGAGATCCAATCTCTCAAATGCACAAAGCAAGCGTAGAAGATTCTAAGAGAAAGCATTTTAAGAACGGCTAAGGAGCGCTGATTTATTTATAAATGTCTACTAATAATCAATTATCAGGTAACTGCTCTTCACAGAGGCTTGAAATGCGAATGACGATAATCGCCCGGTACGTTGAAGCTCATCAATATGTGAGGAAATTAACGTGAATCACTATAAGGAGTGTTGTTTAGGAAGACTGCATGTCGATTGGCCTAATCTATGCAAAGTAAAGTTAGGCAAGAACCTTGTGGCAGCGGTAGCTTTTTTCAAAAGGGCTGAATTTTAGGCAGATGCATGAGGAGCGCTCGGGTATTGCTGCCTGAAGGCTATAGGTATCCAGATTTGCTTAAAAATTTCACAAAACATTGGCGATGAGTCATGAATATATGGCTATGAGAGCGAAACCGAAGCTTAATCGCCCCCATATCAAAGCTTTGCTGAACTGCTTTTTCCGATTAAGATGGCGTCGGTAGTTCTTACCACATGATGAAGCAAATGATGCTGTAGTAGCGATGTACCAAGGTCAGACTAGGCTCATTGCACCCATTCACTTCGGTGGTCTTACAAAGCGTATTAGCTCAGATGAATCAACATAGATATTGAAGTCTAGCTGTATCCAAGTGCTATCTGCTAACTCATTCTTCTCACAGCTTTTGCTTTTGTTTCTAAAAGGAAGTCATAGCCTTTCTATTTGACGTCGTATCGACAGTGATCAGTAAGTGTTACAAATACCTTCGGGATATACTTCCTTCTTACAGAGTACCTTTTACTTGACCTCTTCCGCTTCCATTTCGGCCAAGTTTGCCTTATGAGGAAAAATCTGGATGGTCCCTAGCAACTGCGTTATTCATTTATTTTTTTGCAGTTTGGCGCCAATTGGAAATACCAAGTACAGCCAGATCCTTCTCTACCTGCTCGTTAAAACCTCCACTCCGTTCCCCTTTCTCGGCTTCCACAGGCGGGTGTGGCATCTAATAGTTTCAAAACCGTTGTGTCTTGTTTCGCTGATCTATGTTGAAAACTCCTAATGTCGACTCATCACATATTGTCATCGTCCATACCGCCGCACCTTATAGCCGGACGGGAACTATAAGTGACTTGTAGAGTTTGGTCTTTGTACGTCGAGAGAGGACTTTACGTTTCAATTGCCTTCTCAGCCCTGTGTTCTGGTTCCACAATTGAATATGTTTCCTTGATGACAGGAGATATTTCGTTTACTACCAGATAAGAAGAAAGATAGATCTAAAACTGACCGTTTTGACTCTTCCCATCCATACCCTATTGATAACATCATACCCATTATTCCATTTTAGGGGTTTTGAGCTGCTGTACCTTTCGCGGATTTTCGCAAATACCTCTATCAGGCGAAAGGGAACTGGTCCAGCTGCCTGATAACCGAATTAGTCGATTAGTGAGGTGCTGAGGATTACATTTAAGGCTTAATTTGGCGTGGCTTTTGGCACCTTAGGAGATTGACATCAGCATCGTCTTGTTTAACGCAGGGCACCATTCAGCCATTCCGTAAGATAAATTAGTCTTACTACTGATATGTAGTTCCACAAGTGATACAGACTTTGCTTTCAGGCTAGGCAGTAACACTTTCTCCCTTACCACCGCTTTCCTGGCGCCTTTGGCCGCAGTGTCTCTAAGGAGGACGTTGCATTAACATGTTTTATCAAGACTTCGCTTCTTCGGGTAGGTAGACCTCTGTGGAAGTTGGCTTCACGAAGTAGGGAGCACTCTCAGCTATGGATATACCTGCCATTAAGGGTCTCACCATAGAGGCTGTTTTACCGATTACCGTTTCGGATAAGAAAGACAATTTCGTTGTCCGCGCTTACTTCGTCCTCATGGGTTTATGTGAGGAAGAAAGCTTTTAATACAAGTTTGGCTAGTCCATCCAAACAACCAAAAGGATCGCCACTCAGAGCCGCTGTACCCACTGGAATGTGTAGTTACAATATGACCTTTGGTCAGCTTTGAAGGAAAAGGTACTCAAAATCAGTGTAAGCAGCAGAAGTTTTCTCGGCTTTACAACCACCATAAACTTATTAGAACGTAGGCCAGCTAGCTACCAAACCAATCCAAAATGTAAACCCTCGAATAACGAGAGTACTCATTGAGCATTAACCGTTGTGTACTGTGATTTTTTCGGATTCAGTTTATCGAAGTTGTGTAAATAGGTAAACGGCTTCATGTATAAACTTTAATCTGAATACTCTTGCGTTACAAGGCTGAGACACTGAAAATTTGACGGTTGAACAAAATGGGGAGCCTCTGAAAACTTACAGATGAGTTTTCAACCACAGCTGCTAGATAATTATGCTCGGAGTTTGGACGAAATAACTCGACCTCCAAAAAAATTTGAGATTGATTTTGGCGAGTTCGCAAAACCGGTTCGTTATCGGGCCAAACACCTCGCGCACGCCCTCATCTACTGCCTTGAGAGGAAAGTATTGCTGCGGTAACTCCAAGTGTGCTCGAACAGCCATCAACATCAAAACGACACCGTTCGCAAGAATCAAACATTTCGTGTACTTCTTTGCATAGAATTTTGGATCAGGACTATGGTATGAAGGCTTATAAAGTCCAGGTGATTCAAGTACCATCCCATGAGATTTCACTTGGCTAAATGGACTAAAGAGCCGCTCTTCGGGAGTTCTGGTATGGTGAAAGCCGCTGAAAAGAGATGCCGTGACCAGTTGCAGTTTCTTTGAGTCGAAGTTACGGATACTTTGCAGATATTTATTAAAATCCAAATAATTTACACAAATTTAATATGCTGGTGAGACCATTGGTTCACCGGCAAGTCCGCGCAAGACATTATGCGCTGCAGTGGCAGACATATCAGCACGAGTACGCTGGGTAGCCGAACCCAGATGGGGTAGCAAAACTGAAAAGACAAAAAGTATTTTTGTCCTCTTCTTCACTCGTTGAGCTTTTCCTGACAGCGTACTCACCAACATTCGGCAAACTCAATAGAGGATCATTAGAGGGCAAGGGCTCAGGAGTCATAACATCCAAACCAGCAGCAAATATTTGATTGGTCTTCAAGGCTTCATATAAATCTTGTTGATTCACAATACCTGAAAGCGATTAAATTTATCAATAATAGAGTCTACATTCTTTATCTCTCTCTCTTTCTATTTTGTCTCTTACCTCCACGTGCGATATTCACCAGCACAGCGGTCTTCTTCATCTTACCGAAAGCCGTGGCATTGAAAATACCAGCGGTTTCTTTTGTCAAGGGCGAGGCAATGATAACAAAATCACTCTGCGACAGCATGGTGTCAAAATCTACCTTCTTGGCATTGTACTCTTTTTCGATATCTTCAGATACACGGCGGCGTGTCGTGTAGAGAACACTATCAATGTCGAAACCAGATAGACGTTTGGCAACACTTTGCGCAATGCCACCAAAACCAAAGAAACCGACAACAGAGTCACGCACATCCTGACCCAACATCCAGTTGCGATGGCCGCCTTCCCACTTGTCACTAAATCACACGAATATATGTATATATTTAAATATTGTAGTTTAGTATTTGAGTAACCAAACACTTACGTTTCAATCTTCAAACGACCTTCATGGAAACGACGCGCTGCTGCCAGTAATAAGCCCACCGCTGTATCAGCCACCGCGTTATTCATCACAATGGGTGCGTGACCGAGTGGTATCTTGCGACGCTTCACCTCTGCCACATCTACAAAATCGATGCCAGCAGACATGGTTGAGATCGCTTTCAGTTGTGGGCCCGCGGCATCCAGAACCGCTGCACTAAGCGGTTTGTTATTACCCCAAAGCAATGCATCCACACCTTTTGATTTCTCTAAAATCTCCGACAGCACTGGTGGCGCCGCTTGGCAAATAATCACTTCACACTGGTGGGACAGTAAATCGATGCCCTCTTGTGACACTTCGGGATGTGTGACTAGAACTTTGAATTTCTTATTTTCACTAGACATTTTGCCTTTAGTTAGCCAACTAGTCGAGTAGCATGACAAGAGAAAAATGAAAAATTTAAAAAATGGAAAAGTGTTTTATCAATATTTTGTAGTCTTTTTCAATAAAAATTAAATCTTTGTCGCACGGCTCTTGAAACCGAATTGAAATAAATTTGCTAGACGCAAACCCGGCTTGACAGCAGAACATGAAATTTCTCACTTACAACTAGTCCTTAGTTCAATCTTTCTGCCATAGTAAGAGGCATATCGTACAGATCTTACGTCCTATAAGCCGCTCTCTGGCTCGCCCGCGAAAGAAATGTTTCTTCTCTTTTAAAGTTTGCTACTTCTTGGAAGCAACCATCGCCATGTATTAGATGTAGCCACTGTACGAGGCAAAAAATTGCAAAAGAGCTTTTTCAATGCATTTAAAGTTTTAACCTCTCTGAGAGCAGAACTTTTAGCATTGTTCTTATCAAGCTTCTGGCATACTCTGCTTAGATTAAACTCAAACAGTGTAGCAGTTTCGGCAATATTTGTTCAAAAAGTTTTTTTTTTCAATATTTTTTCGTATTCATGGGCTTATAAAAGGAATAGTCAATAATATTTTGAAAATTTTGAATAAAATTAAATAATGCAAGAAAAAAGACCTTTCTTTGTCCTTTGCACCAAATTTTTGGATATTTTTTTTTTAGGACTAAATTTGAATTCTTTGAATTGTAAACAAGACTCAAGTTACCACTCCGTGGAACCCCTTTCGACTGGTTTGAGGCCGTACAGGAAAATATGCAGAGGTAACTGAGGTCGACTGATTTCAACAGCTACTGCAAGCAAAATTGGTTAACAGTGCTACCAACTTAACAAAAAAAAGTATTTTTCAGCACTTTGCAGTGTGTGCAGATTAAATTACAATTTCCGGAAACTTTTTGGTCTTAATGTATATTCTTATTGCTATCACCAGCACCATTTTCCAAGTTTTGTAAAAAATTAAAACTCAAGAAAATGCGCTTCAAAGTTTTGCCGAGCACTCGAACCTTCTTGACGCTCTACGATTGAAACTGTTCTAGCTTCTACAAAAAAATGTCGGATTGGCTGCTGAAATTTGGCAGGCATATACTTGGATAGTTTTAGAATAGATCTAAGGAAAAAAAATCATTTTTTAAAGCCTCTAAAGCAGACTTCTACCTTAAGTTTTCCCCATATTAACCACAGATGACATGAAATATGAATCAAATCGAGCCTTGAATTTAAATGAATGACCTTTAGTACTTTTTCCTACCGCAGGCCTAAAAAAGAGCTATTGTAGTAACAACGTATGTTTACGGTTCATTCAGGATGAAGTTAGTATTAGATGAGTGCATAAGTTCGTGCCCGATTTCAAGTGCAAACTAAAATTGAAATTTTTTGAAGAAAGCGCTTTTATTAATCAATTATGTATTCGCCATCATGTTCGGCAATCCACTCCCAACGTTCAACC